ATATATATATATATTATTGTAATATTTTTATGATAATAATTTACAATAAAAACATTTTACATCGCTGCACAAAAACTTTTACCTGAAGAGGTACCATCTTAGTAACGAAACATGAGAGTTTTTGTGTAGCGATGTAAAATGTTTTTAATATAATCTATTATAATAAAAATATGCCGCACCAGGAAATTTCGCCGGAGTCGATCCTTCAAATCTACAAATCAACCATTTGCCGCTGCATTGACTATTGCTTCTATATATGGTTTGGAGCTCCTTCTAATTGTGTCAAGGTCTTTGATAAAATCCAAAGACGGATATGCAATGTAATTGGCCCTGATCTGGCATCTCGTCTGTAGCTGCTCCCTCACAGACGTGCCGTCGCCTCCCTCTGTCTTTTTTACAAATACTTTCACGGTAACTGCTGCGATGACTTTCTTTCGCTGGTACCCAGACTTCCTGAATTTAAGCGTTCTACTAGGCTGGCATCTCGCTCTCACCCTTTCACTGTCGAAACTGTTAAATGTAGCCGTCTCTTCTACTCCAATAGCTTCATATCTCGCACTTCTCGCCTGTGGAACTCCCTCCCCTTTTCTGTTTCTCTGATAGCTATAATCTCCAATTATTCAAATATAATGTCAATCGACGTCTCCAAATGCCTTGATCTATCCCCTAACCCTTCTCTTCATCCTTTTCTCTATCATTCCTCTTTGCTCTCGCTCCAACTCTCTGTAACCCCTTGCGTGCTAGTGGCTTACTGCCTTGGATGGGGTGAAACGGTAAAAAATAATAATATTTTGCTGTACTTTGTATTGACCTCGTTTTTTAAAAAGAATAAATGTTACCAACTGTGGATTTTTACCCCATCTGTTCTTTCTCTCATTTGGATATATATATATATATATATATATATATATATATATATATATATATATATAAATTACATGAATCATTCATACAAAAAAATAAATATAAAGGTTAATGATTTAAATGGCGAGAATACATCTTCGCAAACAATTTCAATAAGATACACTAACCCCGAACCTGTATATGAATGATATGATCCCTGTTTATAAATTCCAGTTGCATAAGGCCTTTTTTAGTTTTTACAAGCTTTCGTCTTTTCCTACAGACATCCTCAGGGATGGAAATACATTTTTTCTTGTTTTTTACTTCTCGGTTTGCGAAGATGTATTCTCGCCATTTAAATCATTAACCTCTATATTTGTTTTTTGTATGAATGATTCATGTAATTATAAATTACACTACACCTATAACCGAAATATATATATATATATATATATATATATATATATATGAAGAAAAATATACTGAAAAAACAAACAAAAATCCTAATATGCGATTATGTTGTTTTAATGTTTAATGTCAACGTCGGACGTTTCGGTCTAATAGACCATCTTCAGTTCATATTCATAAAACATAATTAACATAGACCATATACAATTCAACATGAAAAAGACGATGGACATAAAAGCAATACCAGTCAAAACAGATAACTGGAATCTTTTATCTGTTTGGATTATGTAGCGTGTTGGAATCATATTTTTAAATAAATAATTATATTTATGCTCTACTTTTGTATCGGGCACTATTTTTTAAAAATAATAACAAAAATACTAAGGAACTTTGGATTATTTACCTAACGAGTTCTTTCCTATTTTCTATATATTTTCACACACACACACACACACACACACTCACTCACACAAATACACACATACATACATACATACATATATATATATATATATATATATATATATATATATGACAACTTAATTGATTCAGTCTTAAGGCACTTGAGACCTGCTAGCGATATACAACAAAGGAGGCCGCATATAGAGCCAGAGAGAAGATTGTGGGATGAGATCACTGTTAGATTGGCTGACATTTTAGAGCTTGCTCTCGCTTATTGAAGACGATTCAGGCTAGCAGATTGAAAATTGCCGAGTCCACTAAAATGCGTTGATCTCCATTCTAGGAGATCTAAGCGCTCGAGGGTGTTATGGGGTATATTGACAGCTGACAAGTTGCTCTTCAGCCTATCTTTTTATCTTAACCATGGCCGTCCTATATTCCTGTAGCCCTGGTCTAACTGGCTGTACATTAGGATCTTGGGTATCCTGTCATCAGACATTCTCAAGACATGGCCAGTCCACCGTAACTGAGACTGTATGATAAAAGTCTTGATTCCTCCAATATTACACCTGTTAAACAGGTCTACGTTAGATGTCCTATCTTGAAGCTTAACTCCACAGATTTCACGCAGACAGCTTTTATGGAAAACATCCCGATGGCGTATATGGTACCTGTATGGAGTCCACGACTCTGAACCATACAAAAGGATGGCAAGTACAACAGCTCTGTAAACCCGAATTTTCATATCCAGTCAAATACCCTATGTATTCCATTTTTTTGGAAAAGATTGCTGAAAGCACTTGTAGCCTTAGCAATCCGATGCATGATTTCATCATCTAAATTTCGACAGTATTTGACTTGGCTACCAAGATTGGTGAAAGTCTTTATATAGTTCTTCTACTTTCAATGTTCTTCTGGAAATTTGTATTATATATATATATATATATATATATATATATATATATATATGTATATATATTAATCCAGAGAACTCGAACATGTAATTCCCTATATGCCCCTTGTTATCAATGTCTTAACGAAAAATTTGAAATAATTAGATTTAAATAAAAGACCCATCTCTTAAATCAAAGAAATGAACTCACTGTTATTAATATAGATTAAATTGAAAATTTTAAATTGGTAATTTTGAATTGTATAGTATAATTTAATATTTATTAGTAAGAATAAATTCTATTTTAGTCTAACCCTAACATTAACTCATTAAATAATTATTATAACCTTAGTTCGTTGTCAAGTTTTTTGAATTCTCATGTACTTGTATTTTGATTGGTCATTCCAGCTCATGTAACTTGCGTTTCCCCTTGTGAGGGGTGTTTGAATGATTTGAACCTTTTAAAACGCTTTGTTCTACATTCACTTGATAACACACCAGAGGTGTTGAAACAAAATGGCGATTTTTGTAGTGATTTTTTGTAGTGAAAATCAATAATCGATGTATCGTTGAGTAATCAAAGTATTGATCTAAAACAAATAGACAAAAAGAATATGAAGAGAAAGAAAGAAAAGCACACATTTTTCTTGTCCGAATCCGTTTTACACATTTACCATTCGTCCGTGAGTTGAATATGGCTGCCCTATCTATCTATCTATATATATATATATATATATATATATATATATATATATATATAAACAACATGAAATAAGGCGAAAAAATATATATCTTTAGCTGACGCCTTTTTTCGCCTCGATAAAGTCAAGCAGCGGACGAAATTAGTCGGCTAAGATAATTTTAACTTTCGTTTTTATTCATATATATATATATATATATATATATATATGGTGGGGGGTACGTGTGCGCGTGTGTGCGTGAGTAAAATAGATAAATATGATGCGAAATCTGTTTGGACAGGTAAGTGGAAAAAGATCCGCTCTTCAGTCTCCCATGGACTTAAGCAGAAAAGTAACATTGATTTTGATCTTGGACCGGACGATCGCTACTAGTCATGTCTTTTGCCATGTGACGTCGGTTGAAGCCAATCAACAATCATGCTTGTAGACACGCCATGACTCATTTGGCTATGACGCCACCTGTCGGAGAAAGTGGGTGCTATTAAATACCCTTTAATCGCTAGGCACAGGGGGCATGGCCAGGAACGATGCAAGGAATTGGACAGCTTCCGAATAAATGGATCGTCGACGATCGGGCTTTCAGATCAATTACAATGCCAAGACGGGGAGGGGACACACGCAAACACACATCCACGTATAATTGTATACACACACAGTATATTTAAGTTCTATCTATCTATCTATCTATCTATCGTTACCTGTTCCTATCTATCTATCTTAGCTGTTCCTATCTATCTGTTTATCGATGTACCTATTTTAGCTTGTTCCTATCTATCTATCTATTTATAGTAGCCTGTTTTTATCTGTCTATCTATCCATTTGAGCCCGTTCCTTTCTATCTATCTATCTATCTATCTATCTGTCTGTCTGTCTGTCTCAAACTCTATCTATCTATCTATCTATTTATCTATCTATCTATCTATTTATAGTAGCCTGTTTTTATCTGTCTATGTATCCATTTGAGCCCGTTCCTTTCTATCTATCTATCTATCTCAAACTCTATCTATCTATCTATCTATCTATCTATCTATCTATAGTAGCTTGTTTTTATCTATATGTCTATCTGTCCATTTGAGCCAATTCCTTTCTATCTATCTATCTATCTATCTTAGCTGTTCTAATGTATCTGTCTATCTATGTACCTATTTTATCTATCTATCTATCTATCTATCTATCTATCTATAGTAGCCTGTTTTTATCTGTTTGTCTATCTATCCATTTGAGCCCGTTCTTTTCTATCTATCTTTCTATCTATCTATCTCAGTCTGTTCGTATCTATCTATCTATCTATCTATCTATCTATCTCAGCCTGTTCCTATCTATCTATCTCAGTCTGTTCGTATCTATCTATCTATCTATCTATCTATCTATCTATCTATCTATCTATCTATCTATCTATCTATCTCAAACTGTATCTATCTATCTATCTATCTATCTATCTATCTATCTATCTATCTCAAACTGTATGTATCTATCTATCTCAAACTGTATGTATGTATTTATCTATCTATCTCAAACTGTATCTATCTATCTATCTATCTATAGTAGCCTTTTTTATCTGTTTGTCTATCTATCCATTTGAGCCCGTTCTTTTCTATCTATCTATCTATCTATCTATCTATCTATCTATCTATCTATCTATCTATCTCGATCTGTTCCTATCTATCTATCTATCTGAGGCCTTTCCTATCTATCTATCTATCTATCTATCTATCTATCTATCTATCTATCTATCTCATTCACAACACATCTCTGTCTTTATCTAATACATTGTATATATTATTACTTCTCTACTTCTCTCCCGGTATTTTAGACTTAAATCTAGATATATATTTCATTTTTCTTTCTTCTGTTTCCAAATTGAAGCGACTTTTCGATATTTATGCTTACTTATCTACTATTTCCTAATTTGTTTACCTAACGTTTTATAGCCTTAAAATAACCTTTATTTTTAGCTACTAAAACACATAATATATATAAATATACTTTTACCTTATGTTCCAAATGTTTTCATAATCTGTGTAATTTGCATTTCTTTATATATATATATATATATATATATATATATATATATATATATATAGAGAGAGAGAGAGAGAGAGAGAGAGAGAGAGAAAGACACATGAGATTACGATATATATTTTTATATATCATAACCAATGTTGGGGAAAAATTAACAAAGTGGAAAAAAGTTCTCGTGTGAGACGTTTCGTCCTTTAGGACTTCATCAGACTAAATTTGTGTTCGTGTTGCTAAACGTGTGCACGGACGAGGGATGATGGGAATTTAACTATTTTTAATCTAGCCGATTTCTTATAGATTATTTTTCTTTCTATCCCTTTTGTCATTAGATATCGCACACTGTGATAATAGATCTGTCACAAATGGGGAAATGTTTTAAGAGCTAGGGCCCAAATTTACTCTACATGGCATTGCGATCAAAGCACTCTCTAAATGAAATCGGCTAGATTAAAACAAATTAAATTCCCAGCATACCTCGCGCGTGATCATTTGTAGTCGCACCAACATAACAAATTTAGTCTGATGAAGTCCTAAAGGTCGAAACGCGTCAGAAGAGAACTTTTTCCACTTTCCATTTTCCCCACACATATATATCTTTTCTGGGTCACCCTGTCGACTTGCTTAATTCACCCTTTCCTTCTTTTTTTTTCGCTCTCTCACTCTCCTCTTCCCCACCCCCATGTTTTTCTCTCTTTCTCTTCCCCCTAAAAAATCTTATATTGAAATCTCTGTCTTTCTCCTCTACTTTTTTCTTTCCTCTTTTAATATTAAAACTTTTTTTCCTTTTTCTCTTTTCTCGCTCTTCCATTTTTCTTTTTCCTTTTTTTTGTGTCTGAGTAAACAAAACTCCATTTATTTATGTAATACTGGTCTGAAGAGATGGACGTTTGAAATAAATTATAACCTGATCTGATTGATTTTTAAGGATTCTGTATTCATTATATATATATATATATATATATATATATATATATATATATATATATATCATGTGTGCGTGGGGAGAGAGAGAGAGTGAGAAAGAGAGAGTGATGGGGAGAGAGAGAGAGTGAGAAAGAGAGAGTGATGGGGAGAGAGAGAGAGAAAGAGGGGAGAGATATGGATAGACAGAGTGGGATAATTGTGTTTCTATTTATCTAAGCATTGCCGAAACAGCCAGGGTTAGTTTATTTTTAGCGCCGGTTTCCACGTTCGATCCTATTTAATGACACAATTTCGAATGCTGATTTTGAAGGAAACAAAACTCAAGAGATTAGATGTAAAATTCCCCCCCCCACACTCCACGCCATTCCCCTTAACTCCGATTTGACTTCCGGTCAAAATAATTATAGCGATACATGACAAGAGGTAGGGTAATTATTTCATATTTAAATTTAATTCATATCAAAGGGAAAAATATTTTCAGTGTGTGTGGGGGGGGGTAACGCCCCCACCCCCATCCCGATGGCCCCCTTTGATCAAAATGAAATATACTTATCCAAGTACCGTGGGTAATGTAGTTTCAGAATATATATGGTTTGAGGGGTCTATCTAAAAAACCCTCGGAGGCATTCGATTACAGACAGACAGAGGCGATAACTTTATATATATATATATATATATATATATATATATATATATATATATAGATAATAATATTAGTAATACAATAATATCAAAAGCGTTTCATGTAATGACACTTATCAGGCGGATATAATATGGATCCGATATAATCTGATTCATATAATACAGGGTGACAGGTGTCTGCTTCATGTTTCTAATTTAATACTAATTCTTCTACCTACATACGGCAATTAGGTTGTGTCTTTGGTTTAACAGCTGGTCACCTATTCGCTGTAAGATTAGCAATTTTCCCACTTAAGGACAAATTACAGGCTTGCCCGACTCCGTTATATGGTCTGGCTTTTAAAAGTTGAAAAAATTTTGAAGAACAAAAACAAAACAAAAACAGCAGTTTATTTTCAAACGTGGAAAAAAACCATTGTTTGGTCCGGTGTTTCTGACGGCTCGGCCAAGAAAAGCGTCGCTAAGCGGCCAGATTCTATTTTCCCTTTTTAAAGAAAGCACCCTCCCCCGTTTAGATTTTGTGGAAAACCTACATCTGCTCGTTTTCGGAACCGAGACGTAAACAAAGCAATTTCTAAAGAACGAATGAATTTTTTTTTAATCTGTCATTTTAAGTGGATCCTACGTATTTGAAATAGACGCCCAATTTTTAAACAACATCTATTACGTCTATCTATCTCATAATTTTTTTCAAGAATCGTTATCTGCTCAGTTTCATATGCGAAAAATAAACAAAGCAATTTCTAAAGAATTAATGGATTTTATTTTTAATCCGACATTTTATATTTAATCCGACATTTTATTTTTAATCCGACATTTTATATTTAATCCGACATTTTATTTTTAATCCGATATTTTATTACTTTGACAGTTATTATAGTGTTACTAGTGTACCCATGCCGTCTAAATTGACGGCAAGAAGGAATATATCCTACGTTATCGGACTGGAGGGGTCGATCTCATCCTGCGGCACCCTTGGAAAGTGCCTGAAAACCATACCAAGGGTTGACCTTGTGAGTAAATTTGGCAGCCGTCGATTGCTGTTCTGACACGGAGTCGCAAGTCATCGTGGCCGAGGGCTTGAGCGTGCTGGTCTTGTTCAAATTATTGATCACCCTAGATAACACGCTCTTTCCCAGAAACTGTAGCTAAGGTCTGTTCAGCATAGTTGCAGTATAAACCACAGGTGTGTTCTGTGGGTGTTGAGCAAAACAAATGTCCCTGAGAGAGCGCCTGCAAAAGGGATTGGCTAGCCGCCCTAATGGACGGGTATCCCCGAATACGAGTGGCCAGCTGTACATTATATATTCACAGCCAAAGTTATATTTGCTGCAAATGTTCCCAAAGCAGAATAGTTTTTGTGTAAACTTTGGAAGGTCTAAATAATCCTTGACAGTTCGTTTATTCAATCTGTAAGTTCAAAGTCTGCTTATTTATCGTCCTACTAAGAGCAACGTATCATCAGATATTTAAAAAAAAAATTTTTGTCCTTCCGCTCTTTTTTTTCAAATATAATTTTTAATGTTTAAAATGAATTTGTAAAAATGAACAAAGCATTCTTGAAGATATATGTGGCATATTATATGTACGTACCCTCTTCGATAGCGATAACAGTACGCGTCAACGGGACCAAGTTACCACGCCACTGGGTGGGTCATCGTTATTTTGCACACTGTCCCTCAATTGTTACACACCAAAAACGTATATATATATATATATATATATATATATATATATATATATATATAAAAATATATATTAAGCACTTTATCCCGTAAATACAGCACACCTTAAAATTATATTCCTTTATATATATGTGTGTGCGTGTGCGTGTGTGTGTGTGCGTGTGTGCGTGCGTGTGTGTGTATGTGCGTGCGTGTGTGTCTGTTTAATGCACTTAACTGTTTATAGCTATAGCCTAACGTAGAAACTTATCAATAAAAACATGTTCTAGAAGGTTCCACAATGTTCTAGAAGGCTCCAGAAAATCATAGCACTACTAATACTACACTTACATACGATTTCATAATTTCGTGTTGGGGGTGACATTTTTAAAAATAAACTGAATTAAACACTATTTGTGCAAAAATTCATCTAATTATGATGCAGAAAATCAATTGTTTTACAAATAGTTATTAATCCTAATATATATATATATATATATATATATATATATATTTAACTTCTATCCTGACCCCACTGGATCGATGTATTCTACAAGACCGTCCGTTGGCCCTCTCCTGGTCCAGTATTACAGGTTCAATGGAAGTCTCCTGTTCACAATGTCGAGATCTTGGAGAGCAATTAACAAATCGTAGATCTCGGAAGATTTGTGTTGGGGGGAAAGTCGGTGCGAAAGTGACTGAAGTCGAGATACCAGGCCAGGATCGATTACATTATAGAACCTTCTTTGAATGTTGTCAAGAACCACGAGACATATAGATGGAGCACCAGACCAGATATGTCAGAAATATTCAATGAAAGGGCGAATGGTAAATTTACAAATATGCAAGATGGAGTCTAACGAGAAGAATTGTCTGAAGCAAATTTCCTAGCAGTAGAGTTAGCAATTGATTCAATATAATCACTCCTCTTTATGTCAGTGAAAAACATTGAGCCCAAGAAAGCGCATTGTGTTACTTTGGCTGAAGTTTAACATCAGCCATGTTGATGGCAGGCAGAAAAGTCTCTGTGTGGTGATGAGATGAAAGCAGTTTTGTTTTAGAGGCGTTTATTGGGACAAAGTTGAAAAGATTTTTAATGTCGCCTTTCGCCGACGTATGCTAGATTCGATGTCTTCAGGTTGGACTGAAAAACAAATCTGCATGCAAGGAAAATGCGTTGAAATTTTCTTGAATAAGAGATGCTAAATCCCAATGCATTTTTACTCAATTACTGTTTTATCGTTCATTCCAACTTGACGATGAACCTAACATACTTTTTTTAAGCATTCCACCCAAAGCAAGACGGGAAGCCACTGGTACGCAAGTGGTTACAGTGAGTTGGAACGAGGGCAAAGAGAAGTGATCCTTTAACAAATCGTAGAAAGGATGAAAAGAAGGTTAGGTGATAGACCAAGGCATCTGGAGACGACGATTGACATTACATTTGAATAGTTGGAGATTATAGCTATAAGGGAAACAGAAAGAGGGGAGGGAGTTCCACA